AACATTAGGCATAAAACTAAAATTACAGAGAATGGATCCAAACCAAAATTTTTTTTAACGACATCCGAACCAAATTTTCTTATTACCTTTTTTTTTAAAACCGAACCACATATAATTGATTTTATACTGAATTAACCAATCAAAAATGAAATTAGTGCAAGTCCGAACCAAATAAATCGAAACTAAGAAACTCACCATTTTATATATGACAGCCTGATGTAAGTAATCAGTTCTCTATCAAAATCTAAACTCACTATTTTTTAGTGTCTTTATCTGCAAGGTTCATTATCATACCATTTTACTTTGCATAATTACTCAGCTTTATGATAATCACATGTTTGGACCCTCCACATTAGATGAGAGGAGAAAGCCATGTATCTACTCTTATTCGTATACATTTGACCCTCCCGTACGTCTGTTTAATTTTGATATATTTAGTTAATGCCTAAAACTTATAAAAAATACTAACAAGTAAGAAACATATCTTGCTAATAATGTATACATGATGTAATACTAATACACCTAGACGTAAAGCAACATTAACTTATTTATCTCACTTAGTATATAATCGAAATGAGATTGTATCTTTTTGCAAGCAAAATTCAGTTTCATCAACGAAGGAGATCGTTTTAAGCAAGCAAAATACTTTAACTTTTAGTCACATTCAAAAATAGTTTAGTCGGAAAGTTTATCTAAAGACCAGCACATCATTCATTATTATCCAGCACATCATTCATTATTATCCTTAGAAAGGCTAGTGCGTATGCCTTATGCATGCATTAAAATATATTAAAATGAGAAATTCAAAAGCAAGCGCAATCTATGCATGTCAAAAGCTTTTGGATATCTCTTTTTTCCTCGATTAATTTGTTAATAAATTTATCTATAGCAATCGATAATCTTCTTAAGGTTAAATCAATCTTCGACTTAAACATTAATTTTACTTTTGTCATATCTATCATAGTTCCATGACACAACTCCTGACAGGACAAAAAACCGTCTATGTATGATCAATTGAACATACAAGTGGATATCATTGTTGGTCCCCAATTTTTGTTTGTTTGTTTTGTTTTCATGTTATAGATGCATAGAACTATCGCATCATAAGATGCAATACTCATAACCAACGACAAAAAGGACTCAAAACTAACCAACTCATATGTAAAAAGAAAAACAACCAAGTGAGTCATTAACAACCATACTTAACCGGCCGGTTAAACTTTATTTTGTTGGTCCCATATAATATTTTCTGGCTCTTATTCATCGATGGTCTTAATTTACTTTATCGCAATTATTATTAACGATATATTGTCCGTTACAAAGAAAAATACGTAACTAAATGGATACCAAAAGAAAAAAAAAAAAATCCATGCGAGAGACAAGAAATGTAGAAAACTTGGTATTTATCAAAAGAACTAAATATAAGTTACAGAATAATCGACAAGAACAACTAAAACAAAAATAAATATATATTCCATGGTTTTACCAAGATTTGTGATGGATTACATGACACACGGAGGGAGAGAAAAGTTAAAGACGAGTGTGGTTGATGTTAGCTACTTTGGTAGTCTCGTAAACTGGCAAACCTCCTCCACGAGACAACTCGTAGTTCTGCAACTCAAAGAGATCAGAACTTGAATCACTCTCCATTCCATCATCATTATCATCAGCATCACCCCAAACCTTCTCTTTCTCTGAGAGGCTCTCCATCACTTTAAGTTTCTCATCAAGCCAAGACAACTCTTTATTTATCTTCTTTTCCTTCATAACTTCCACTTGGTTTGTGGCAGAAGTGAAGTTCAAGAACTGCTTGTAGTTCTTGGTGGGAGTGTTTAAACAAGGAGGAGGAGTTCTAAAACCCGAAGACAACAAAGATTTTGATGATGATGATGCTGTAGTTGTGGTGGTTGAGTTAGATCTGCTTGAACTCAAGAAATGGCTTAAACTACTTCTTCTCTTCCTCCTCATCCACCCACCTCCATGGATCTCCTCTTCTACTTCTAGATCCGTTGGCTTTGGCTTTGACTTATTCTTCTTTGAACCCGCTTGATGAAACAAAGAGTTCAAGAAGCTGACGATTTTCCCACCCGGTGAGCTTGGTTGCTTGTCTCTCACGTTACCGATCCTCTCTTTTCTTGTTGTAACTTCTTGCTTCTCAAGATGATCTTGGTGGATATGATGCACTTGTTCTGAACATCGTAGAGGCAAATCCAAGCTTATTCTTCTCCCTCCTCCTAAGATTCCCCATCTCCTTCGATTCTCCTCTCTTGGGGTGTTATAAACATACTTATTTGTGTTTTTATGGTCGCCGGAGGAGACGTCGTTGTAGCCGGAGAAGTACACGGCGGCCTCGAAGACTTCAAGCTCGCCGGAGTGAGAATCTTTGGGCTTGTGGAAAGATATTCTCTTGGAGATCTTATCTGGTTCTGCTGATGAGATCCCTTTCATGGACATTATTTAATTAGGGTTTGAAGATGAGAGACTTGGATGATATCAGGAGTCTCTTTCTATGTTATATTTGAGGAAATGATAGGATGCAAGATGTTTATATAACATTAAATAATGTGATATCTAACTCCTCCATCATTTATTAAAAAGGTCTAGTATGTTAGTAAGTTAATATACGTTCGTAAACGTATCATGCGAGATTCATACGTTAATACAAATGGAGTACAATAGTTTTATTATCCGGATATGGTTATAGTTAAACGTTCAAAATGCTGGAAAATGAAAATTTGGAGGG